ACGAACAATTTCATGAGGTTGAATGGCCCGGTGCAGTCTCGTCTAGATTGATTCGCGATACTGGGAAAAGTTGGCAGCCGGAGGGCTTCCTGGATGGGGAAGCATATCCGACAACGAAGGATTTCATCGACTCCCTGTCCACTCTACAACAGGGCGACAAGACTCATCGCTAGCTCTCTCGCAACGGCACCTTTATCGAGCACCTAAGCGCCAATTCAAACCATCTTATCTGGTCTACAACACAAATAAATGTACTTTACAGTCACACTCTGTGAGCCTCTGCACGCTGTTACTTTACAGCAGTGGCCATCGCCAGGGATACATCTATCACAAGGTTACATGCCAAATGCCAACGGGATATGTATGAGCCTTTCACGTTCTGCACCAACAGGCCATCGAGCCCGTTCCAACACCCAAATCCGCAGACTGGACAAAAAATCGACACTCGAGTAGGTGCACGACACCTTCCACTCCATCCCCTGTCCCCCCCCGTTTGCTCCCCTTTCCCTTTTGAGCAACCTGCCCTCCGCTGTATGCTACTATGGATGATGGCAGTGCATCAAACCAAAAGCAAAAGCAAACCCAACGCTTCATGGCATCAACGTTATTTGTATACATGTGTACAGATGTATAGCGGCGAGCTGTAACCCCCCCCCGAAACGGTGCCCGGTTTTCGTTGACCGTCACGGCTCAAGACTGGATGGAGGTAAACAACAGAAAAATGCGATGCGGACACCCCACCCCGCACACTCGAACCCCCCCCCCCCCCCCCCGCCATCCGCGACAACTTAATATTGCTGTGATTATTGATTATTGCGTGTACACTCTTAACACACGCTCCAAAGTATCCACACCCAAAACCGAACGTACAAAAAAACACACATGAAAAAAGGGGCAACTGTACAACACCGAAATCAATATAATCCGTTTCACCCGGCGCGTCATCGCGTCTACGCACGCCGCAGAAGAACAGCGCCATGACCCTATCTCCCTGCAAGCAAACCTCCAGTTGTCCGCCCGCCATTGCTGGGCGAAATCTTCCTCCGTTACCGGGTTGCGATACCGCTGGTGTCTGGGCATGGGGCCAAACGATACAGACACAACACCTCCCGTAGCGGTCGATCTTCGGAAGCAGCCGGTAGCACGCAATCATACATCCAACAACGCGGCCGGTGCCCTAACACGACATCGTAGTAAACCGGCATGCGTATTGTAGATGGGATACACAATACAATCACCGCCGCTTGTCAGAGGGCGGCGCGAGCCTTACGCATCCCGAGCAACCGCGCGTCATCAATGGACCCCAAGAACAAAATAAATAAAACACTGTCACGCTGCGTCGGCCCCCCTTCTTGTTGTTTCCCCATCACCCCCACGGCCAGCGACACCACCAACATCCGCGCCAGTGGTTGCTGAAGAAGGTCGCCGCCGCCGTTGCTGTTGCTGCTGCTGTTGTCGTTGCTGTTGTCGTTGTTGTTCCGGCGACGATGATGGCACAGTCCCGAAGAGGGTGTCGATCGGAGGTGCCGTGAAGGCGAGCCAGCACGTCTGGTCCTTGAGATGGTGGAGCGTGTGGTGCCGCTTCAGGTCCTTCCCCAGCTGTGACCGGGGCACGACCCTGTCGTTTTTTTTTTTTTTTTTCATTGTCACGTAATCGTCGGCGTTGTTTTTCCGCGTCCACAGATCGGAGGCAGGTGTGTGGGTTCGGGTGCACAGGGGTATTGTCCCGCGCGGAACAAAAAAGAGGAACACATCCGAATCAGCAAAGAGGGAGGGAGAAGGTGGTGGGTGAGTGCGGTGCGGTCATCCCTCTCCACGCGCTAAAGAACAAGGCTCCGTTCTGACAAACAAAATGATTCGCCAGCGGTCGGGTCATGCTGTCCTGACCGCAAGCTTTTGCGGCAACTACAGACTACCCAGCCTCTTCCGAACTGCGACACCCCCCCAAACACGCACAACAACGTAAAGCCAACCATCACAACAACAAGGTTACACAACCCCCTTGGCACCCTAGCGCCATGCGGCAAGAGGGGAAAACAACACACAAACACCTCGACAAAAAACACACACACTCCGCTTGATGCAGAGTAGGAAAAGGAACGATCGGGTCATCATCGGAAATCGGTCCTGCCGTGGGAAAAAAAAATCCTCCGCCCCTCTCGAGGACGCGCGGTCAACGGTCTCGACAGCCAACGCGTTCGAAACATGAAAGAGTAAGCCCCTCCGCACCTGGTGTGGACAATGAAGTGCACCCACTCGTAGACGAGACCCATGGACATGTACACCACGAGCACGGTGACCGCCAGGGGCAGGGGCAGCAGCAGCTTGAAGACGAACGCCGCAGCCAGCGTCCAGCCGGCCACGAGGTCCGGAGGGTCCACGCAGACGTGGTAGAACGGCTTGTCGTGGTGGGCTTCGTGCACGTCGTGCCCAAGCCAATTCTGACGGGTGTGTGGGGTGTGTGTGGGGGTGTACTAATGTAAACGCATACCGTAGTCGATAGACCATAGACCCTCGTATCCCTGCAATGCCGGGACGGAGCGTTTTCGCCGGCCCAGGCTGGGGGGGGGGGGGGGGCCCTGCAAAAAAAAAAATTTCCCCGGCCCCCCAAACCCCAAACCCCCAACCCCACTAAAACAAAACATCCCTTCAAAAAAAAAAAACCCAACAAAACAAAAAAAACAAACCCCCCCAAAAAACCCCCCCCAAAAAAAAAAAAAAACCAACCCAACCCCCCCCCTTTTTTCTTTAAATTTTTTTTTCCCCCCCACCCCCTCCACCAGGAACTTTTGAAAGGCCCCCCCCTGAAAACCCCCCCCAAACGCAAAAAAGGGCACCCCCCCCCCCCCCCCCAAACCAAAAAAAAAAGCTCCCCCCCAAACAAACCCCCCCACCCCCCCCCCCAAAAAAATTCCTTTTTTTTTTCCGGTTTAAATTTTTCCCCCCCCCCCCTTTTGAAAAACCCCAAAAAAAAAAAAAAAACCAAATTTACCGGTTCAAAACAAATTTAAAATTTCTTTTCCCCAAAAAAAAAGGGGGGGGGAACCCCAAAACTTTCCAAAACCAAAAAATACCCCTCCTACCCCAAATTTTAAAAAAA